CACCAATCATCAAGCCTGTTTAATGATATAGTCTTTGTTCTCAATCGTAACACTTTTCGTCTAAAATAAGTCAGTAAACGATGCTGAAGCCATTGAGTGTGCACTTGAGATGAGCTTACCATGTGGTTGACCTTGTACACGCCGACCAGCCGCGATGCAAGTTCAAACATGTTGTTTCTAAGTGAGATAACAATGAACTGTGCGTTCTTCGTCCTCTCCTTGATGTAACTCGCCACGATGCTCACGTTGCGGAAGTCTAGCGCCGCGTCGATTTCGTCCATGACGTACAACGGTGTAGGCTTGTAGTGATGCAAAGCAAACACCAAAGCTAGAGAGCTCAATGTCTTCTCACCACCGGAAAGGTTGCTGATGTTCTTCCATGACTTTTTCGGAGGCATTACTGAGAACCGGATGCCCTCGGAAAAGGCGTCGAGTGTATCTTCATATTCGAGCTCGGCGTTGCCACCCATGGTAATCATCTGGTACATCTCTTTGAGACGCGCAGTGATGATGTCGAAACCAGCCTTGAAACCTTCTTTGCGAAGACGTCGAAGCTCTTCGCACTTGTGCTTTGCAGCGTCACGGGCGCTGACAGCAGAAGCGAGGTCTGTGGAGCGCGCAGCATGCTCCTCGACACGTTTGCGGTACTCGGCGAGGACCGCTAGGTCGACTTGCGTGGACTCGTTCTTCTTCTCCAAGTGGGCGATTTGGTCCTTGAGAGTAGCCTTGTCCATGTCTTGAAGCTCGTCTTTGCTGTAAGACGGGAGACCGTCACCTCCGTTTTCTTGTTCCTCGCCCAAGTCGGTGACATTTTGGTATGCGAGCTTGCTTAGCTTGTCATGGAAGTATGCTTGCTTCTTCTGGTACTCGTTCAGAGTCTTTTGGCTTTCTTCAAGCTTATTGCGCATCTCAATCTCGACCGCACGCGTCTCGTTGAGCTCGCCCAGCTTCTCATCGAGCTCCTTCTTGACCAATTGAAGTTCTTCTTTCCTGGCCTCGAGCTGTTCTTGCGCTTCTTCGGCCTGCTGTCGGATCCCGGAAACGTCGCGTTGTTGTGAAGCCATATCATCTTCAACCTTCTCGGCATCAAGAGCAAGCTTTTCGAGCTCTTTGATGGCATCGTTATGTGCCTTCTCATGCTTGACGCACTGCTTCTCTTCCTTTGATTTCGCGACCTGTGCATTGGACACTTGCTCGGTCAATGTATCGATCTGTCCCTTGAGACCATCGACTTTGGCCTTCTGACCTCGTAGCTTGACTCCTCCGATCTCCATGATTTTGTCCTGAAGAGCCTTGATCTCCGCTTCAATATCCTCAGTCTCTGCACGAAGTTTAGAGACCTCCTTCTCCATCGTGGCGATGTTCTTCTCCAGCGATGCGATGCGTCCCTTGTCGGTCTTCGTGGATGTCTGTTCACTACCTAGCTCTTTGATGCGGCGCTGAGAATCCGCAATATTGCGATCAAAACTCTCAAGTTCCAGCGCAAGCTTCTGTGACTTGGTGTCTAGTTCGGGTATCTGCTGATTGAGGTCTCTCAGCGCAGTCTCGAGCTCCCGCAGCTCTTGTTGGAACTCAGCAAAGGTCTGTTCAAGCGTATCGCGGTCATGCTCGAGCTTTGTGACCTGGTCTTTCGAGACGTCAGACGCGAGCTTGGAAGACATCTTTCCCTTGACTACTCTGCTTCCACCACCACTCATGGTACCCGCAGTGTCGATAAGCTTGCCGTCTAGGGTGACGACTCGCCATCTCCTCGCGCCATATGCGATACGCTCAGCTTGGTCAAGGTCTTCGGCGACCAGCGTGTTTGTCATAACCTGGAAGAATGCAGGCTTGAGCTTTTCGTGCTTAGGCTTGACGAGGTCGAAAAGACGTGGCACGTTCTCGGGTGTTTGCACTGGCGACATGTCACGCTTGGCGAGGCGATCCAGGAGAATGAAGTTGGCGCGACCGAGGTTGTTCTTCCGTAGGTACTCAATGCACTGCTGACCAGACTCTACTGTGTCTACAACCATGTTGTCTAGTTGCGGACAGGCCGTAGAGATAGCAACGTCGTACTTCTGATCGATGGTGCCTAGGTTCCCGAGTCGACCATGGAATCCATCGATACGTCCTGATTCTTTCAGACGCATCAGACCCGTCAAAACGTTGCCTTGAGTCTGAGCGGAAGAGAGACTTGCCCGGGCCTCATCTGCCTTGGCTCGTGCGCCAGATAGCTTCGACCTCAGCGCCGGTTCTTGTTGAGTTATCTCCTCAAGTTTAGCCTGTGTCTTTTGTACGTTCTTCTCGACACGCTTCCTCTCGGCTTTGCACTCATCAAGTTCTGCAACCTTCGCCTGTTTGGCTTCCTCCAAGCTCTCGATCTTTGCTTCGACTTCGGCAATACCCTTGGCACCTGCATTCTCACGCTCACGCATGATGTCGAGCTCGCTCTGGGCAACTGCAATAGCGGACTGTTTCTCGTTGATCTTCGCACTCCAAGGTTCCAAAGATTTCTGCTTTGCGGCGATCTCGTCGGAGAGACCCTGTGTTTTACCAGCCAAGCTCTTGCGAATCGTCTCGAGCTCCTTCGCTTCGACCTCCATGCTTTGCTCGAGTTCAGCAATCTCTTCGTTGTAGCGCTCGACGTCCGCAGCGTACTGCTTGGCGAGGCTGTCTGCTTCCGATCGACCATAGCCACTTGTCTCCTTGGTCTTCTCCAGCTTCTTCTGTTTATTAGCCAGGAACTTCTTTTTCTCCTCGAACTTGACCGTCTCCTTGTCAACGCGGGCCACCTCTTTCTGGTACTCCTGGTTCTTCTTTTCGAGCTGCTCACACTCTTTCGCGCCAGTCTTGTATTGTCGCTCAAGCCCCTTGATCTCTTCCTCGTTACCCTGGTGCTTCTGCAACTCCTCATCAAGCTGCGACTGGAGCTGTCCGACAGATTCCTGGGTGACTTGAATGTGATCGTCGAACTCGGACACATATATTTGGTAGAGGGTGGACTGCTTCGAGGCCAGCTCGTTCTCGTCACGAATGTAGGCGAGCGCCTTGTTCTTCTTCTCTTCCAGACTGCTCTTCTCCTTCTCGACGTGCTGTACACGGCTGCTCTTCTCACGACAGACTTCATTCAGGGTCTCCACTTCGACCTCTGACTCTGCAATGGGTGTCTTGTATTTGGACGTGCCGATGATATCTTCGAGATACTCTAGCAGACCATCGTCATGTTCGCCCTGTGCTTTTGGCTTCATCTGCGCGATCGATTCAACCTCACCCTGCAGGATCAAGAAACGCTTATGGTCGAGATCCACGCCGCGGTCTTTAAGCAGGGTCGTGACAATCGTGAATGTAGACTCCTTCCTGTTGATGTAGTATTTGCTCGAATTGTTCTTGAACGCTCTTCGAGAGACAACGAGGTCTGAGTCAGGGATGACTTCGTGGCCGCCGTTTGGGAGGTCCTTGACTTCTTGGAAGTGGACTTCGACCTCGCAGTAATCCAGGTCCGGGAACGCCGCCGAATTGTGAATGAGGGCGGAAAGCTTGCTCTGTCGCATCTTACTTGCACGGAAACCGAAGACGAAGAGAAGCGAGTCGATGACGTTTGACTTCCCGGAGCCGTTCGGTCCCACCACGGAGGAGAAGGAGGCGTGGAAGGGCCCAACCGCCTGTCGGCCAGCGTAACTCTTGAAGTTATTGAGGACAAGCCAGGTGATTACTGTCCGCTGTTTAGGCGCAACAGGCTCATGCAACGCGGGGATACCTGCCGCTCGCCTCTTGACCACAATATCTATAGGCTCAAGCATAGTTTGTTGTGTGCCGAGATCCTCCATGACCTTGGCTGGGGGCTGGGGCTCTGATAAAGGCTCAACCTCGACCTTCGGTTCCGGTACGGGCGACTCGTCTTTCGCTTCTATCTGGGTAACCTCAGCGACAGGCTCGGGTACGGGTTCTGGCACAGGTGCGGGTGCAGGCTCCGGTGTTCGGTCGGTCATGGTAACATCGCTCGCAGCGTCACTCGTAGGATCGTCTACCATGTCATTCGTGGCATCGTCTGCCGTGTCGTTTGTACTATCGGCGAGCGGCGAGCTTGGTGTAACGGTGGCTTCGGACGCCTGCTCAACCTCGGGCTCGGGCGATATTGAAGGCTCAGGCGTGAGCAAGTGCGAGGTATCCTCAGCCGGAGGTGCAGCGACAGAAGCACGTGGCTTCCTGCCGCGCTTCTTGGGCACCGCCTTGGAGGGTGAAGCCGCCCCGGTGGTCCTCTCTGTCGCGGGTGTGAGCGTCTGCGTGGGTTCGACCGACTCTGTGGCGCGTGTCCGCCGCCTCGCTGCGGGCTTGGGTGTCGCTTCTTCATTCTGGGCTGCAGCCTTCCGAGGCCTCCCCCGTCCCCGTCCCGTCTTGAGTGGCGCGGGCGCCGGTGTGAATTCTTCCTCCTCCTCCTGCTTGACTTCGGGCGTAGGGGTCCTGTTCTCCTCATGGTCCGAGTCGTCGACAACGGGTGCTTTTCGGCGCGTCGCAGCGGCGCGCGTAGATTTCCTCGGGGACATGGAAGCCATGATTGCTATGGCTGTGGGCTGGTCGTGGTTGGGCGCGAATTGCGCGGAGTATCCTTGTGCAACTGGACACTTTCCTAGTGTTGTGCGCACAGGTAAACAAACACCCTGACACGTGCGGTCTGCCTGTAGCGGGGCGCGGGGCTAACGTGCCGCCACCTTTCCTTCAACCGTCAGACTGCACCAAACTTGACCGCCTTTGATTCTGATCTTAGACAGACTTCCCATTATTAGGCCTCGCGTTTTGCTGGTAGAGTCTGCCTCACACATACCAAACTGCTCATGGTTACCATATGCGGTGCTGTGCAGCTGCCGTGAAGGTAGCCCCGCCCCAGGCACCGTTGCGATTGGCTACATCCACATCATCGTGGATCTCAGCTGCAGTCATATAACGAAAGATACCAAAAGGCTGCGGGTACTCCAATCTCTTTTGTATAACTGTCATACTCATCGCTTCCTACCTGCGTAATCATGGCATCAAGTCTGCAAAAGTTCAAGATTGTATTCTTCGTCCCTCCCTCTGCCCTCAGCGCCTGCAAGACCGCTGTCTTGAGTGCCGGTGCAGGGCGTTATCCAGGCCAAGGGGGCTACACGGAAGTTTGCTTCACAAGCAGAGGAACGGGACAATTTAGACCGGGCAACGCTGCCGATCCTCACGTAGGTTTCTTAGGCATACATAGAGCCACAGTGTGGTGAACAGTGAAGGCTGACAACGGCTCTTAGATTGGCAAGGCTGGTGAACTACAGGAAGTTGACGAGTACAGAGTCGAGGCCATGTGCATGGGGCGCGACATAACTGTCAAGGCCGTGGAAGCGCTGAAAAAGTGAGTATCCATCTCCAGTGATGATCAAGATCGCTGATGGAAGCAGAGCACACCCATACGAGGAGCCAGTGTACGAAGTGTACAAGATGGAGGACATGTAGTACGCTCATACTCGTTTCATTCTTGTAAATCCAGTTCGCTATTACGACTGTACACTCTCTTTGTCGGACAATATGGCTTGCAACACCTGTTTGATGATGGGCAAATCCCTCTCGGCGTCCGTCATCCAGTTAGAAACTGCAAATCTACAAGCTGGCTTCCCGTCCCATGCTGTACCTGACACATATATTTTCCTCATTGCCTTGATCTTGTTGACCAGTTGCTTGTTCAGTGCTTCATCTGTTGCACGGAACAGTACGATAATGTATATGCTGTTTACGACTTCTTCCTGAGGGGTATCGTGCTGAGGGAGGAGCTCATATCCATCAGTCTCCAGAATATATCTTGCGATTCCTCGCGAGAGTTCAATCTGTCGTTCCAACATCGCACGATAGCCGTCTTTGCCATACGCAACAAGGTTGGCGTAAACCGGCAGCGCTCGGAATCGTCGTGAGTTCTCGAGTCCGATGTTCAGCGGTGACATGATGGCGTTCGCGTCGTTCCCGGAAGCGAGGTATGCTGCGTTGGGATTCTGGAATACGCGTTCAGCGATGTTGCGGTGTCGAGAGAAGAAGAAGCCACAGTCGTATGGCACGTTGAGCAGCTTGTGCGCGTCACCTGTGATCGAATCCGCAAGCTCAAGACCTTCACAAGCCTGGGTGATAGAGGAGTACGCGGGTGAGGTCAATATGCGGCCGAAGAGCCCAAACGCACCATCCACATGTATCCATGCTCCATACATGTCGCACAGCTTTCGCATCTCCTGCATTTCTTCTAACCCAGAAGTCGCAAAGACTCCTGTGTTGACTTCGGATGCAGAGATAGCCACGATCGATGCGGCACCAGGTCGCTCAAGAGACTTCTTGAGTAGCTGCATGTCGAATTTGTGCGGCGCATCTGGCTCTCCTAGACACTTGACGCTCGTCCGCCCCAGACCTAGTATGCTTGCCGCCTTGCTCAGCGATGAGTGCGGTACCGTGGTCAAGATTTGGATCTCGTCGATACCAGCTTTCCGCATAGCTTCCGTGATACCAAGTTCGCCAACGCTAATCTCGACGTCTGTACGATGTGCTGAGGCTTCAGCAATCACATACTCTCGTCCACACGCCAGCCCCAGGATATTGGCTGCCGTCGCACCTGTGGTAAATATGCGGTGTGGCCATTGCTCTGGTGCGAAATTGAGCAACTCGCACAACAGAGAAAGAGCTCGATCCTCCACGTCTGTGGCGATGGTCTCATTTGGTAGGTGAACTTGCACGTTTTGGTCATAGGCTGTGACCAGGTTGTCGGCAAGAAGTGCTACAGGTGTCGCACCACCGGTTACAAAGCCGTAGTAGTTAGGAGAGCGGGAACTACTGTTGAAGGCTGGGGCGAGGTCCTCTTGTATGTGCCGTATGCTTTCTTCGAGACCCACGCCCTGGCTCTGGAGGTGGGAGTGAAGCATAGAGCGAGCAGCACTCAACGTATTCGTTGAGGGAAGGACATTCTCAGGCGGTGGGCCTGAGTGTAGCTTTGAGATCGACGTCGACAGTCTTTGGAACAGCTCGTGAGCTGGGACCTCCATGATGGATTAAATTGATGCGTATAGAAGTAGAACTGGGAACAGTCACAGCTCGTTCCCGACGTGGATGTTGGAACGTGAAGAAGTGCAGCATATAAATGTTGGCGCGAGAAGTGCTTGTACGAGTGACGGGACGCGTCTGACTCTAAGAAGAGTCTAGATTTCGCGATGATTGCCTAGGATAGCCGGAAGCGACATGTGCCTTCGCAACCTGCGCCATATTCTGATCCATCGAGCGGGCCACTTTCGCGATTGGCTGTCTTGAGCGGGTTCGTGAAGTAAGCGGCACGTTTGACTCCAAAGCGGCAGGTCCACTCGACGTTCTTCGGCATCCACCCAGCACGTGACTTGGTGCTAGCGCGGCGCGTTCCGGAGTTAGCACAACACGCTCAACGATGCTATCGGTGACATCGCCACCATTACGCCTGCAAAACCGCGATGCCTACACGGACCGACGCGTAAAATATTCATGCGGACTTACACCGACGATGCGACGCTCTCATGCCTCAGAACAATCTTAGCAAACATCTCAAGTGGTTGATCGCAGAGAAGCCTTTCATTCCGCCCGCGGCTTCGCTCGTTGCATACGATCCCGACGCAGTTCCGACGAGTTCAGCTACGATTTCTCAACAGCATTCTTCCTTCTTGGACGACCACGCAGGATACGATGAGCCTGAAGCTGCCTCCGCGCCACCACCCCCACCAGCACTACCGGCCGAACGTCCCGCTCCACCCCGCGCTCTCGCTCGAACACGGACTATTGATATACACAACCCGCCAGGCACGGAAGACGCGACCTTGGATATGGCAAGATTGAGGCACACTCCAGCGAGTGGAAAGCCTAGACTCATCTTAGCGGGGTTGCCTGAACATGTATCCTCTTCCAAATCAGCAGGCAGGGAACGAAAGGAACCGAGTGATGTTGGAAGTTTCAAGAACAATATACAAGATCTATCAGCGAATGTGAGGAGTATCACTGCGACTACTGGCACGCCTGCCTCCCAACATGCTACCGCGAGAACGAAGTACCGCGAGCCAGTCGATGTCGACTCAATCGATCTCACTGGTGACGACGCGGGTCGCTCCTCTCCAGTTCCAGCGCGCACCTCTAAGGGTCGGAAACGAAAGAGCGACGAGTACGAGGCAGACCTCCGTCGCACCAAGTCTCCCAGACCTGTTCGCAAGGCTCATGCGCTCAGTCCAGAGCCCGTCGACGACGATGACTTCCCCGATATCGACGATATGGTCATGGCCCCCGACAGCCCTCCTCCACCATACTCAACCATCGTAGACGGTGTAGGCAAACAGTCAAAGCACACCGCGACAGCAGAAGACGACGACATGGAAGCTATGTTGCAATTAGAAGAGGAGGAGAGACAAATGGCGAATGCAGAGAATGCGATAGCCTCACAACCCCGCAAACGCAAGTCACTGAGCCGCGCACCCTCGGAGAATGCGCCAGCTCGCAAAATGGGGAAGCAAACGCGTAGTCCTTCGCCCCGGAAGAACGATCTCGCTAAGACCGGGGCCATGGCTAGAAATGATCGACGTTTGGACACACCTGGTACTAAGAGGGTTGGGCATGCGGTCTTGGACTCGGAGGATGACGAATTTGGTGCACTGGATGAGATGGATATCGATACCCAATCCCGGACGAAATCACCCACCCCAGCAGGGAAGAAAATGCGCGAGAAAACACCGATGACCGAGTTCACCAGAGGTGCCAGTCAAACGCAGCTTCCCATACGATCGCCTTCGAAGACCGTAAGAAGCCCAAGCCCATATCAGCCGGAACAGGACTCTATGCCCACTCCAGCGAAGTCTCAGTCTCCAAAGAAGGCTGCAAGGCCTACACCCACACCAGTGCCTGCATCCACAAAACGCGTACCAAGCTCTTCCGAACTTCCAAAGGAAAGGAGAGATGCTATCAGAGAATCCATGGATACCTTCCTGGGCACTGAAGGCCAAAGATTGCAGAAACACCTCAACGCTGCAAGCTCGGCATGGGATAATGCTAGGGCTGCGTTTGTAGCACATCTTTCCGAGTTTGGCAAGCCTGATCCAAGCGAACAAGAAAGGATGGAACGCGCTCGTTCACGAAAAGAGGCAGTCGAGCAATTGATAACCTTGAAATCCAAACACGAGGAACTAATCGGGCAGCGGCAGAGAGTCAAACAAAAGCTAGAGGATGACTTGAACATCGGTCAATTTGATGCAGCGGACGGTGAAACCCTCAGCAGACTTTTCAAGATGAACGAGGATGTTCTCATCCAGATGTTTTACCTACTGGATGCGGCAGCCATCAAGCAGCAGTCAACACCTCTTGTGAAGACTGAAACGAAAATCAGCCGTAACGTGGTCATACAATCAACCCAAGCGAGCCCGGTCCGCCCACACCCAAAAGCATCAAGGGATGCAGGATCACATCGCATCCCCCAGACACAATACGGTAGGCCACCCGAGGCTCCCGCTCAGGAACTGTGGACGCCTACTCGGCATATCCGTTTCGCAGAAGAGCAAGTAGCTGCGTCCCCACTACCGCCCCCAAATCTAGGCTCCCGTGCCCGTGGGAATGATGGCATGGCAGGAAAGCCAAAAGCGAAGTCAAAAGAGCGATCCCATAGAGTGCCTGAGACGCCAGAGCGCCGACGTTCTCCAAAGCGATCAAGGCCAGTAGCTCCGCAACACACACCAGATGAGTTTGGCGAGCTTGACTTTGAAGAGAACGAAACCCTGTTCAGCAACAACATGGGCGAACTTCACCAACCCATTGAGATCAATGACGACGATGATTTTGGTGAGGCATTTGGACCGGACGACGATGATGACTTCCTTCACGAGATCACCAACATTGAGAATCAGGCACCAGGTGGTTTTGATTGGAAGGGCGAGCGGGCTGGGAATCACGTCACTACACAATCTCGTGAGGTGTTCCGCGAAACTTCTACCAATAAAGCCAAGCCTAAACCAGCCCAGCAAGCTTCACCGAAGAAGCAGCAGCTGGATATGCCTGCTAAGAATCATCCTGGTATGAACTTCCCTTGGTCACAAGATCTAAGGACCGCCCTCATTCGCCGCTTCGGTCTGCGAGGATTCCGTCCAGGACAGTTGGAAGCTATAAACACGACGCTGTCTGGCGAACACTGTTTTGTGCTCATGCCTACGGGAGGTGGCAAATCTCTTTGTTACCAACTTCCGTCAGTAATTACCTCAGGCAAGACAAGAGGAGTCACCATCGTAGTATCTCCGCTCTTGAGTTTGATGGAGGATCAAGTGGAGGCCTGCAAACAGCGCTTTGGGATGCAGGCCTTTCTGATCAACGGAGAATCGACCGCAGCACAAAA